TGTTATGGACGCCATGTTCAGATAATTGTAAACTTATAATCCCACCGGAACATACAGGGCGTTCAATCAAGGAGGAAACTTCGCAACACCGCTGATCGGGCCCAACATTCCACACAGATTGCTGCTGTAACTGCCAATAACGGAATGAGTCATTTATCAGTGCTAATGACTCATTCTACTATCAGCAGTTACAGCAGCAATCTGTGAGGAATGTTGGGCCCGATCAGCGGCTTTGCGAAGTTTCGTCCTTGATTGAACGCACTGTACTACACACATACTACGAGTACACGCTCATAAATGAAGGGGTTGGTCATGTGAGCAACTGTTATGATCGAATTATAATCGAGTCAGAACTCTCTTGTTCTTTGCAAATGTATGTTTAAGATCATCAGCATCATCATCGTTCAGGTTTGAACAGGAACTTGTTACCTAAGTACTGGATATAGATCTTGTCTATGTCAAATTCATTGGACAAAATTTCAAAGATTCTTACCGTCTTACCAATGACCTCATCGGGACTTGAACCCACGACCTTCCGGCTTGTAGCATAGTGCCTCAACCGTGTAAACAGTACAGAACTTAAAAGCAGGAATATACACACGAACAAACAAGCTTACATTTTGCTTAGGCTAACCACCCATTAATGCCGGTCACCGTAGCCGAGCGGTCTCAGGCATGTACTGTCTTCGCTCGCTTGGATACCGGGATCGTGGGTTCGAATCCCACTCAGGCATGGATGTTTAGTTTGTGTGTGTGCGTTTTTCTGTGTATGTGTACAGGTAGAGGCCTTGCGACGAGCTGATCACCCTCCCAAAGAGTCCTACCGAATGTGTAAGATCTAGAAAACCCGAGGTGAACGGAGTAGTTCATGGAGGTAGGCCTAGGCTCACTGGGGCTGTAGTGCCAAGGAAAAAAAACACCCCTTATCCGAACCTGCATGGGGCACGAATAGATTTTCCCATACCAACTTGTAGTAATATTGGATAAAAACAGTGTACCGTGCATGAAATTTCTTTGCGCAAGCGGTATCATCAGATAGCGACGTAGGACGTCCGCCACAAGAAAATTTCTAGACTCTGCTATACATTTTCAACATACACTGGGAGCCATAATCCTTATGCCAGAGATCTTGTTCACCGTACAAGAAAGTTCTTGCACGATTTTGCTTACTCGAGGTACGACGTACCCTCAAAGACGCTTTAAACAGACAATAAGAGCATGTAGCCTACTGAGGAGCCCAAAACTTGCGGTTCCATCAAAACATTTCTTCATTTATTTATTCACCAAAATGACATTTTCCTTGTGCTACGTATAAAAAGGAAAGTACTGACGAAACACCGTATTATTAATAATTGTACATAACGACGTTAAAAAAAGGTAAAACTGTCCCTGTGCTTAACTAATTAAGAACTACGCCATGAGGACTTATGTGGGAGTGGATGTATACATCCAAATTTTCTTGATCTGGGCACTAGGTGGAGATTAGTGGTCAGCTTCATGTTCCAGCCGCTTTACCCCGGGGAAAGAGCCCCCGGTACCCATCGGCAAGGAGGTTAGGTGGACCCCAGTGCCGATGTGGACGACGTGGAGAAAGAAATCTTGAACCCTACAGGAACTCGTCCAGCCCATAGCCAGTCGCTATACCGACTGAGCTATCCCGGCTCCTCACGTCCAGCACATAGCCAGTCACTATACTGACTGCGCTATCCCGGCTCCTCACGTCCAGCCCATAGCCAGTCAGTATACTGACTGCGCTATCCCGGCTCCTCACGTACAGCCCACAGCCAGTCGCTATACGGACTGCGCTATCCCGGCTCCTCACGTCCAGCCCATAGCTAGTCGCTATACCGACTGAGCTATCCCGGCTCCTCACGTCCAGCCCGTAGCCAGTCGCTATACTGACTACGCTATCCCGGCTCCTCACGTCCAGCCCGTAGCCAGTCGCTATACTGACT